TTGGAACCTCTGCCTCATAGGCTGGAAGGAGGATTAGGCAAGGGCAGCAGGGCAGCTAGTGAAATGGGTACACTTTCGGGACCCATGGTTCACTTTCGGGAACCCTGGGTTCAAATGTTGGTTCTGCTATTTTTTTAGCTTTCTATCTTTGGACACGTTAGTTTCTCTGACCTACAGTTTACTTATCTGCAAAATGGGGATAATAATAGCAGTTATTATCATAGGGCTCTTGTGATGATTAAATCAGATCATTTGTATAAAGTAAAGTGTGATGCCTGGCCCATAAGAGGTGCTTACTCAGTGACAGCTACTATTAAGAACATATGCTTGCTTGCTTGCTTCCTTCCTTCCTCCCTCTCTTCCTCTCTCCCTTTCTCGCTCCCTCTCTCCTTCCTTCAAGTGGGAACTTAAATAAGGTGCTGCTTTATCCTAGACCAGCCATCCTCAGAGCTGAAGTGGTCCCTTTCTACCGGGAGATGGTGGATCTGCAAGGCCTCTTGGAGTTTTGGAAACCTCCACCCAAGAAAGCAAACCTGGCTCAGAACTCAGAGAGAAGCATGTGCTCCCTGCGGGAGGAAATTCAGCTGCCTTTCCCTTCCACTCTGACTAGCAGAAGTGAGTCTTAAGCAGACCCAGAGCTTTGCTGACTGTGGGGAGGGAAAAAGGAGGAGAGCCTCCACTGGGGGTGCTTCTCTCACCGGGTGGCCATGAGCTGAGAGTTACCCAAACTCGTAAGCTCAGGGTAAGGCATCATTGCTCCTTGCCCCAGGCTGGCTTCTCTCAACCCTGCTCTCTATCCCCATCGGAACCAGCTGATCAGGCAGTTGGGGGATGCTGCTGGATTTGAACTCAAGACTGCGCTTTGGAGTCCCCTTGCACATCCTATGCTGACTGGAATAGTGCTAGATAATGCTTCATGCATACCCAGGAAAGGACGGGCTCCCATGTCTCATTGCCTGGGGTCAGGATCCATTTGAATAGGATGAAGAATAGGAATGAATGAGGTGGGGAGGGGGTTTAGGGGGTCATGAGTCCCTGTCATCCCCAGAAGATGTTGAGGAAGAGACATTTATAACGTGCTTGGCTCAGGCCTGGTTTCCAAGCTACCCTCCTCCATTTCTGGGCCCATTTCTGTGACTTTGAGAGATTAACATCTCCAGTCCCATCACTTTGCCACTTCGGCCATCCCCTAGCATGGATGGCTATCTGTCAGCAGGGAGGGGGCAAGTGACTCCTCACTCATCCATCACACAACCCACCTCCCTCTTCCAGCCTCAGGTTCCTTATGTGTAAAATGAGGGGTTGAAACAATTGTTCTGTTTTCAGGCACTGGCCAGTGACATCCATCCTGTGTTGTTTGCAGTCATGCTGCTGTCAGAGGCTTACTGAGACATTCTGTGACAATCAACAGTGCATGATCTACAGGGCATGATAACCTTTGTCTCTGTGCCTCAGCTTCTTCATCTATAAATGGAGAGAAAACCTACTTAGGGGTTCTTGTGACAATTGAAGGAGATAGCATCTCTGAAAGTGTCTGGCAAAATGGGAAGCTCTATATAAATGGGCCGATACTATTATTAACTTCTCCAGGGCTCAACCTTGGAATGAGATCACATCATATCCTGTACCAGCAATGTTTGATCACAGAGCTGGAATTTAACAATTTAACGTTATCCATTTACTCTCTGATAATTGAGGGTTGATCTAAGTCGGTGGTTCACAAAGGAGGATATACTGCCCCCTAGGGGGTTTTCTAGGAATCTATGGGGGAGTTTTTGGTTGTCAATGGAGAGCCTCAGGCATTTGGGGAAAAAGCTGTCAGGCCCACACAATTAAGAGTTGCCCCACATTCCACACTGCTTTTGAGTGTCCTGCCAGACATTCGTATGGGTAAAAAACTCGATTATAATTACTTGAGCCTCAAATAATCTCTAATTTACACAAACGTATAAAAAGAATGTTTGCACTTTTTCCAGGAATGAAATTAGTATGAATTGTTCACTTTGGTGGTATCCGAGTTGCCAAACGACACACCTATATCAGTCAGTATTTGTAGTTGTCATATTCAAGGTAAATCTGTATGGGTGCAAGCGACGGGCTACTTCACTGAGATTTCTAGAGCAGTTGTATCTGCACATTCAAATAATATTTTATTTTTAATCACTTTCTCTTTCATATTAATCAGAGTATTGACTTTCTTTACAGAGTAAATGTGCAGATAGGCTATTATCTGTGAACTTCTCTTCCGGATAGTAAAGGGGTGTTAACAACATATTTTTTATAAAAAGGAAATATTGCTTCTGAAAGGGTTGAGAACCACTAAGATATTTGCATGAAAAGCCCTCCTTTATCCTTGGTAAAAGTGCTCTTCTGGATACTAGTACATATAGGTCCCTGGCCAGAGCCTGCATAAGGTGTAATAAATTCCCCTCGTAGTCGAGGGTTAGGAAAGTTGGCTCATGACTATCTGGTATAGGTATTCCTTTTATCAGATAATGACGGGTGTGGAATTTGTATGTTCCCTTTCGGTATCCCCTACCAGGAAGCTCACGGTTAAGTTTTGGTGCTAGGTTTCACTGATTAACCCTAGCCCAGCATTTTTTTTTTAAATAATTTTTTAAAAGATTTTATTTTTCCTTTTTCTCCCCAAAGCCCCCCGGTACATAGTTGTATATTTTTAGTTGTGGGTCCTTCTAGTTGTGGCATGTGGGAGGCCGCCTCAGCATGGCTTGATGAGCAGTGCCATGTCCATGCGCAGGATCCGAACTGGTGAAACCCCAGGCCATCTAAGCAGAGCATGTGAACTTAACCACTTGGCCAGGGGCTGGCCCCCTAGCTCAGCATTTTGAGGACAATTATTTCTTTCTTCTTCAATTTGATTTCATTATGGGGCTCTTTAATCATTCTTTAAATATTTACTTGTTTCTATGTCTCTTGTTCTTTTTAAATCTTTTCTTTTCTTTCCTTTTCTTTGAGGAAGATTAGCCCTGAGCTATCTGCATCTGCTGCCAATCCTCCTCTTTTTGCTGAGGAAGACTGGCCCTGAGCTAACATCTGTGCCCATCTTCCTCTACTTTATATGTGGGACGCCTATGACAGCATGGCTTGCCAAGTGGTGCCATGTCTGCACCTGGGATCCGAACCTGTGAACCCGGGCCGCCGAAGCGGAACGTGCGAACTTAAGTGCTGTGCCACCAGGCCAGCCCTAAATCTTTTCCAAAAGTAAAGGGAGCATAAATAATTAGTGTGAAATTCAAAAATCACGTACCTGCAGTTGCCTTCCCAACATTCCTGAGTCTGGAAGTCTAGGTCAGAGGTGCCTGGAAAGCTTGAGGCAGAGCAGATTATGGCCAGCTCAGGTGGTTTTGCTCTGCGGACTTGATCTCTCTGATAACTCTGCCTCTTCCCCTTAAAGGCCCTCACCCCTCCACTCCAGATGGGGTGTGGGCATTGTGAGGAGAGGAAGCAGGCTCCAGCTCAGGACCCACTCCAAGTCTTGGCTGGATCTCCGTGGTCTGGCGTGAGAGAAGGGCACCCCAGTTCCAGGATCAGAGAAGCCTAAAGCTCCAACTGGAGAGATTCTCCCTCCACAGACACTCCTCTAGCATCTTGTCTAAATTCCTCAGAGCAGAGGCTCTGAAGCTCAGGCTGAGGCATGCCACTGACCCCTTTCAGAACTCTGGGTCCACTGGCCCCTAACTCCGACCTTGAGTGGGATACCTTTCTGAGCTTCAGTTTCCTCATCCAGAAATGGGAATGATATCCACCTCAAAGAGCTATCATGAAGACTCACTGAGATAACCTGCGAGGTGCTAAGGCTTAGAACACAGCAAGCACTCAAAGCCAGCAGTTGCTGCCCATCCCGTCCCATCCCATCCCTTACTGGATTGGTATCACCCATAGGCCTGTCTGTCATCCCCAGATAGGAGCTCCTGGAGACAAGAGTGGGCATTAAATCTCAGCTCCTCACTTATAAGCTCAGTGACTATGGCAAATTGCTTAACCTCTCTGATATAGTGAAGTGGGAATAATGAAATGTACCTCAAATTTGTGGTATGAGTAAAATTATTAACAATAAGGTTATTTTTGGGTAAGAGCATTATGAACAATTTATTATGTTATTTTCACTCTATGGGCATTTTCTGTGTTTTTCAATAATAAATATGAACTATTTATGTATTTTAAGTCACTTTTCAAGACATGCTTTTTCTAAAATAAATACTTAAATTTATTGAGTGCTCACTACACTCTAGGCATTACCATAAGCACTTCACATATATTATCTCATTGAATTCTGACAACAGTCCTCTGAGGAAGATAGCATTTTCACCTCCATTTCATAGATGAGAAAACCAAGGCTTACGGAGGATGAGCAATTGCCCAGCTTGTTGTAAGTGAATCTATATACATGATAAAATGTCATAAAACTTTACAGACACATACACGCACACACAAATGAGTACATGTAGGAACTGGTGAAATCTGAATAAGGCCTGTAGGCCAGTTAACAGTATTGCACAGTATTGCACATGTCATTTTCCTGGTTTTGATATTGATTTGAATATTGTCATGTAAGATGTTACCATTGGGGGAAGCTGGATGAAAAAAAACAGCCAAAGATCTTTCTGTACTTTTCCTGCAACTTCTTTCATATTTCTTCTATAATTAGATTCACATAAACAGTTTTTTTTAATTTTTTTTTTTTTTTTTGAGGAAGATTAGCCCTGAGCCAACTACTGCCAATCCTCCTCTTTTTGCTGAGGAAGCCTGGTCCTGAGCTAACATCTGTGCCCATCTTCCTCTATTTTGTATGTGGGACGCCTACCATAGTATGGCATGCCAAGCGGTGCCATGTTTGCACCCAGGATCCAAACCAGTGAACCCTGGGCCGCCAAAGTGGAATATACTCACTTAACCGCTGTACCACCGGGCTGGCCCAAAAACTTTTAATTTTTGAAAAGTTTTTATTTAACTTATTTTTTTTAAACTATTTATTTAAGGCCCAGGGCTGCTCACCCACACAGCACAACTCCACCAGGTCCTGTCTGGGAGACTGCTGGGACCCACAAGAGACCTGTGGTTCCTACTCATGTCCCTCACCAACCTGCCCAGCTCAGGGCACTCAGGGCCCAGATGGTGGCAGTGGGACATGGGGAGAGTGGAGGCATAGTGGCTCTAGTGCAGGCAGCCTTGAGAGCCAGGGTAACTGGGGCCACAAAGAGGGCAAGGGTAGACCCCCTGAACTTTGGCAGGAGTGGGGGTGGGAAAGGAAGAGGTGTGTGTGAGGGGTTATTCCATGCTCTTGTCCCCCTCAGGCTCCCTTGAGTCACTTTCCCCCGAGGTTGGGGCACATTCTTGAAGTGGATGGTCACAGGGATTCCCAGCCTCTCAGGCCCTAGGCCAGTTTCTATTCCTCCTGGAACTGAAACCAACTCCCCCCCTCAGACAGCACCCAGTTCCCGACTGGTAATAATATAGTGACTTGCTCCTCTAATTCCTGCCCTTGGGATCTCCTTGGACTTGGGTGAGTCTCTCTTAAGTCCAGACCTGGGGTTGGTGGGTAGGGCCAGCCTGAGTCCCCGTTTCTCAGGGAGGAGATGGGTCCCAGGTATCTAGTCGAGGGTTTGACCCACATTCAGATAGCCTGATTGGCCCTCTCCCTCCATTCCTGTTGCGCTCCCCCAACACCCTATCTCGCCGGGCCAGTCCGCGATGGGCCAGAGCAAAGCAGAGGATCAAGGACCCCTCCTTGCGACATCTCGCCATCTCTGCGCCCTGGAGGGTCAGCGGGGGAAACAAACCCCACCGCTCGGTCCACGGGGAGCAGCGCCCTCGTGTGGCCTCCAGGAGAAGTGCAGCTCATTTCCCAGCCCCTCCCTTTCTATGCGCTCGTTGACAAGTATTTATTGAGTGCCATTAGGTGCTCTAGGGGCAGCGGTGAAGAATATAGATAAAATACTTGCTCCGTGGACGGTACATTCCAGTGTGTGTGTGTGTGTGTGTGTGTGTGGAGGGGCAGACAGTAAATGATAAACAATTAAATAAATGAGGCAGTTACTAGTAGTGATAACTGCTAGGAAGAAAATAGAGAAATGTGATGGAAAGTGGCCCAAGTGGACACTTAGGACTGAATGGGAAAGGAAGGTTTCCTTGAGTAGGTAACGTCTGAGATGAGACCTAGGTGACAGTCACGTGAAGATCTGGGGGGAAAGCTTTCCTTGCAAAGAGAACAGCTTAAGACCCTCAGGCAGAAACAGGCTTTGCTTTACAGATCAAGGAAAGAAGTGAGCAAGGAGAGAAGGGTTGAGATGTGGTCAGGGAGGCCAGCTTTGGCCAGGCTATAGATCTTCTAGGCCATGACAGTTTGACTTTTCTTCTAGGAGTAATGGGAATGTATTGGGTGAGTTTTGAGCAAAAGAGTAATGTGGCTCGACTGCCTTTTAAAAGGACCCCTATGGCTGCTGTGTGGAGAAAGGACTTTGGGCAACGAAGGAGGAGCGGAAGCAGGGAGATTATTGCAAGAGATTATAAAGCTATTGACATGATTTAGGTGAGAAATTATGGTGGCCTGGATCAGGGTAGTGGTGTTGGAGGTGGGGCAATGTGGTTGGATGCTAACTATATTTTGAAGGTAGAGCCAACAGGACTTGCTAACAGACCACATTCTCCTTTGCTCATTTAGCTCTAGGAACTCCTTCACACCCACCCTCGGTGGCTCCTCCATCCTCGCTGGGGGCTGAATTAGAGGGGCAGACCCCAAGGATACAGCTGAATTGGGGAGTTTCCAAATGATGTTGGCAAAGGAATTTAAGACTCAGGCATTGTGTTCTCCATGAACTGCCTCCCCTTTCCATCATTAGCCCATCCAATGGTCAGAGCCTCTGACACTGTCTCTCTTATCCTGCCTGGTTTCTTTAGACCTAGTTGTTTATCAGGTCTCTGTTTGTCCAAATGGATGCCCTTAGGGTGTGATGGTGATACCCCAAACAGTCCTGGCTGTTTGGTGTTTGTATTTGATACAGAGTAGGGGGCAGCATAATCTGGGGGAGTTAGTCCTCAGACCCAGGCCAGCAGCTTACTCCTGTTTATTTACACAAAACACAGTGGGATCAGACCTGATCCCACAGGAAATGCACACAACACTTTTGCCCCAGGTTGAGCATTTCTGGAGAGCCTGGGAAAGTTCAGGCTGGCCTTACAAACACTCTCAGGCCAGCAAGGGGTGGGGAAAGCAGGCAGGGGAGGAGGTGAGCCGGTTCGCTCTGGAGTCAGCACTGTTTGTGTTGTTCTGCATGGGGGCCAGGGGGTGCATTATAAATGCAGCCTGCCAGAGGGCCCTTGGCCTCAGAACCTAGGACTAAACTGGCCCCCAAGAGGCTGTGCAAGCCTCACCAAGATGAAGCTACCAGGCCAGGAGGAGTTTGACATCTCCAGTACTTGTGAAAATGTGGCCACAGGAGAGCCAGAGAGTGGCCCTGGCTCTGGTCTCAGCCCTGATGGCCCCTCAGACACAGACAGCAGGGAACTAGGGGTACCCAAGGACCCTGTGCTCTTCATTCAGCTGAACGAGCTGATGGGCTGGCCCCAGGCACTGGAGTGGAGAGAGACAGGCAGGTAAGTGGGAGTCAGGTCAATTTTATGGGGTCCTGCCTCTTTCCCAGCTGGGGCCTCCTCCATGACCCCTGCTCCTTCTGTGGGGGGTAGTCTCACTTCCAATCAGGAGTCCCTCCCTGTGGTCCCCATTTCATGCCCTCATCCTCCATGATGCTCAGCCTTCTCTGCAGTCTAATTTTGAGTTCTCCAAGATCCCAGATGAGGGGTGACTGCCCGGGGAGGAGCACACTCTGCACCACTAGGCCCAGGACTCCCCCATTGCCCTACTTTCCCTGGCTCTCCTGTGTCCCCACTCCTGTACCTGGGAGAGATGCCCCCAATAACACTGTCTACCCCTCTCCACCACAGGTGGGTGCTGTTTGAGGAGAAGCTGGAGGTGGGTGCAGGCCGGTGGAGTGCCCCCCATGTGCCCACCCTGGCACTGCCCAGCCTCCAGAAGCTCCGCAGTCTATTGGCCGAGGGCCTTGTCCTGCTGGATTGTCCAGCTCGGAGCCTCCTGGAGCTCGTGGGTATGCTGGGACTCTTTGCAGGGAGGGCCTGGGCAGCCATGCCATTTCCCTAAGATTTTCCCCCAAAGTCTTGGAATTTTCCAGAGCCCACCCCACCCCACCCTAGAGATTATCCACTCCTGTCACAGGGGGGAGATGGAGAAGCAGAGTGGAGGAGCAAGTTCGTGGTCCCTGTGTTCTCTGAGACTCCCAGAAGGAAAGGGACCTGGGTGGAAGGGAAAGGGGAGGAGTTTGGGGACAGGAACGGGTTAGAACCCCACCTCTGTTTTCCAGAGCAGGTGACCAGAGTGGAGTTGCTGAGCCCAGAGCTGAGAGGGCAGCTGCAGGCCTTGTTGCTGCAGAGACCCCAGCACCTCATCTGGACCACAAGAACCAGGCCCTGTTGCTGTGAGAGACCCCTCCCTGGGCCCCCAAACTCTTGGGTGGGAGAGTACCAGATCTCCCCTGCACGTTCCTGGACCAGGATTGGCTTAGCCTCAGCTCAGACCTCAACTGGGACTCATGGGCAGGGGGAAGCAGAGGTAATGGTGAGAGGAGAAGAACAGAGGGGTAGAATCCTAACAGCCGGAGCTCTGCCTGGAGGCACTGCACCAGGAGCTTTACACACAGCATCTCATTCAAACTTCACAACCACCCTGTGAGGTAGCACCACAATTATCCCCATTTTAGTGATGAGAAAATTGAGGTTTAGAGTGGGGAAGGGTGTGCTCCAGTTTTCACAACTTTTCAGTGGCAATGCTGGTCAAGGAGCCCTGGTGGATCCACCCCCAAAGTCTCTGCTCTTAATCACTGCATAATCCTGTTTTGAAGGGTCTGCCCACCCAAGAGAGGCTTCTCATGATGAGGAAGCCCCCATGAAGGAACAGGTTTGTGGCCCTTCCTTGGGCAGGGCTGGGAGGGGGGTCAGGGATTAACAGAGGCCCACCCCTTACTGAACTCTTCCTCAGTCAATATCCTGCCAACATACCCCTCCCCAAATAACCTCTCATCCTCTGTGTCTCCTTGAACCCCATCCAGCATCAGAACCCCCTGAGACAGAAGCTGCCTCCAGGGGCTGAGGCAGCGGCTGTGCTGGCGGGAGAACTGGGCTCCCTGACACAGCCACTGGGGGTCTTTGTGCGACTGCGGGATCCGGTAGTGCTGGGGCCTCTTACTGAGGTGCCCCTCCCCAGCAGGTGAGGCTGCTGAGTGGGAGTCAGGGATCCTGGAACCCAGAAGAGGATCTTTACTGGGGAGGAGATTGGTTGGTCTCTGGTCCAGTTCTCTGGGAGTGTGTGGGAAATGGTGCTCAGGAGTCTGGAGAGGGCAGTAGTGGTCAGGGCTGCACAGTAGGTATGCACATGAGTGTGTGTGTGTATGTGTGTAGGGCCTGGTAGGGAGGTCAGGTGTCAGGGCTGCCTCATGGGATAACAGCCCCTGACTCTCTCTGGGGCCTGGTTCCTTCCTCAGATTTTTCTGCCTCCTCCTTGGTCCCCCCACACTGGGAAGGGGCTACCATGAGATGGGCCGGGCAGTGGCCGTCCTCCTCAGTGACCGGGTGAGCTGGGCAGGCATGGGTGTGTGCGTGTGTGTGCACATACGTGCAAAAAACATACATAGGCTCGTGTCAGTGAGTGTGTGTATGTGGACTCCATATGTGTGACAAGACAGCAATGAGGTAGAGTGTGGTTTTGTGACTGTGAGCATGAGGACTGAAGTTTCCTTGCTACCGCTGTAGCCCCCTTACCTAGTACAGTGCTGGCACACAGCAGGCACACAGTACATGCTCACTGAATGCATGCGTTGATGAATGAATGCTTGAATGACTTGTCTGTCTATATGACTTGTGTGTCTCTAGTTTTGAGACTGTGAAAATGCATTAAGGGTCCAGATCTGCATTTACTGCCCCTCTGTGCCCCAATCCCCAGCAATTCCAGTGGTCAGTTCGTCGGGCCAGCAACCTTCATGACCTTCTGGCAGCCCTGGATGCCTTCCTAGAGGAGGTGACAGTGCTCCCTCCAGGTCGGTGGGACCCGACAGCCCGGATTCCCCCGCCTAAATGTCTGCCCTCTCACCACAAAAGGTATCTGAGGCTCATCAACTCACATAGATCCTTCCCCACAGGGCTTGGGTCCAATTCCACTGTTGAGGAGGGGAGGGGATCTCAGGAAAGGGGTAGAGATTTATCTTTGGGTTTGGAGTCCGCCGGCAGAGACGTGAACAGCCTCCAGGGGGCAGGCCACGAACTCCAGCGGCGAGTTGCGCACTGGTTGGAGGTCCTGAGCCAACCTGGGTTCCCCTTCTCAGGCTCGCCTCGCAGCTGCGGGAGTTCAAAGGCTCCTCTGTGCGGCGTCGGGCCCCGGCTGAGGACAGGCACAGCCACCGACCGCACCCGCCCAGCCCGGAGCTGCGGCGGACAGGCAGGTGAGGCGAGCTGGGTGGGAGCGGGGGTAGGGGTCCTGGCAGCGGGGAGGAGTCACAGGGGCACCGAGGTGTGTGGTCACTGTGGGAGGGACTCACCTGGCCACAGGGAAGGTTGCAGGAATAGGGGTGTGGGGTGTGGGAACCTGGATCACTGACGACCCACGGGCGGGAGGCTGTTTGGGGGCTTTGTCCAGGATGTGCGCCGGAAGGCCTCGTGGTACCCCAGCGACTTCTTGGACGCCCTGCACCCCCAGTGCTTCTCGGCCGTGCTCTACATTTATCTGGCCACAGTCACTAACGCCATCACTTTCGGAGGTCTGCTGGGGGAAGCCACCAACGGTGCTCAGGTGGGTGGGGAGGCCTGAGGAGGGCAGGCACAAGCTTTGGTATTCTGCCAGCCATGCTCTTTGGCCTTCCCTGGGACTATGGGTGGGCTGAGGAGGCTCCCTGGAAGCTTAGGTTGCTGTGCTGACAACACCAGCGTCCTGTGCTGAGATGGGTCCCTTGTCGGCTGTTAGGGGGTGCTGGAAAGTTTCCTGGGCACAGCAGTGGCTGGAGCTGCCTTCTGCCTGATGGCGGGCCAGCCCCTCACCATCCTCAGCAGCACGGGGCCAGTGCTGGTCTTTGAACGCCTGCTCTTCTCTTTCAGCAGGTAGGAGAACTCCCCCACCTTAGCAGACCCTCATAGCCTCACCCTCAGCCTGGTCCTGGCTAGGTCCATAGGGGAGGGTGGGAACTGTCTCTTTGGCTCCAGGGGCACCTAACCTGGGTTAAGTGGGGAGCAGAAGAGCCCTGCCAAACGCTGCCTGTCTTTCACCCCACAGAGACTACAGCCTGGACTACTTGCCCTTCCGCCTGTGGGTGGGCATCTGGGTAGCCATCTTTTGTCTGGCACTGGTGGCCACAGAGGCGAGTGTACTGGTCCGCTACTTTACCCGCTTCACCGAGGAAGGCTTCTGTGCCCTCATCAGCCTCATCTTCATCTATGATGCTGTGGGCAAAATGCTGAGCTTGACCCGTGCCTATCCCATCCAGAGGCCTGGCTCTCCTACCTATGGCTGCTTCTGCCAGTTCCCAGACCCGCAAGGTGGGTGAGAGAAATAGGGAGCTTGGCAAGATAAGGAAGGATAAAGGAGAGGTAGGGGTTGTCCCTTTGCTGTGGTCCTCTGGTTAAATTCAGCAAAATGCTGAGTACTTACTCACTGGATAACCAGCAGCACTCTTCCCCACTCTGGTTCTGAATTGAGAAGTCAACAGAGCAGGCCCAATATCATCCTTATTTCTGACAATGCTGACGGAAGAACATGGTTATATTTATAGGTAAACGAGCTTCCTAACGATGAAACCAGAATTAGACAGACTTACCACCCAGTCACAGCTGCACTGGACAGGGACTGTCTTGCCCCAGAAGAGCAGAGCTAAATGCACGCACGGTGTAGGCAGCTTTCTCCAGAGAGAGGGGAGAGGAAGGCGCAGAGCTGGGCATGCCCAGCTTCTTCTCCCAAATTTACCAAAATGAAATAAATCACTTCTCTTCCCCTGGGTCTAAGTGACTGACTGGGTGGAGAGAAGCTAGGAGTATTACACTTGTACATATTCCTCCACATGGAAGGAAACACCCAGGATTGGGGAAGAGGTGTCCTCTCAAAGGTGCTGGACTGTGCTAGGCATGAAGCAGTTCTGGCCCTACTGGAAATTCACAGATTTGTGTGCTCATCCATTGAGCAAACATTTGCTGGTCATCTGCTCTGGCCTGGCCTGTGCTGGACACCAGCATCCAGATAGGTAGGGAATTTGAAGGGACGAGGGCGTGAGGCAATGTCCTGAGGAACACAGACTTAGCAGTGATTGGAGTCAGCAGACAGATGAGTCAGAACTAAGAACTCTCTGGTTCAGCTGGGCCCGTGAGATTAGGCTCCTGAGGGGCTGGAGAAGGTTCCTAGAGGAGGAGCATACACCCAAATTCTTCTTTGCTTCCCAGGAAATGAGTCTCAGTGGATAAGGACAAAGCCAAAAGACAGAGATGACATCTTAAGTGTGGTGAGGGCCTATTCCTGGGAGCGTCTGGGAAAGAAAGGGTGGACGCCAAAGAAGTCAGTGGTTCCTGGCTCTTCCCATCCCACAGGCTAGGGAAACCCTCAGATGTCACTGAGATGTCTGGCTGGAGACCTCATGTCCTGGGCCCTTGGTGTCTCAGAGGACGCCATATTCCGCCACCTATAACCCATCCCTGACCCAACCCCTCCATACAGGACCTAGGTCTGGTCAATGCATCCTTGCTGCCCCCACCCGAGTGTGCCCAGCGGGGAGGCCGCCCTCGTGGCCCTGGCTGTCATACAGTCCCAGACATCGCCTTCTTCTCCGTCCTCCTCTTCCTTACCTCCTTCCTCTTTGCCATGGCCCTCAAGCATGTAAAGTCCAGCCGCTTCTTCCCCTCTGTGGTGAGTGTTACCTCTCTTTCTGTCGGAGAGGACTGGCTCTTGGGACCCTGTCTGTGAGTGGGAAAGGGTACAGAAGGAGGGGGATGGCTGAACCTGACTGGAGGATGGAACCTGACTGAGTGTTCACTGTGTCGCCAGATGCGCAAGATGCTCAGCGACTTCTCCTCAGTCCTGGCCATCCTGCTGGGCTGTGGGCTTGATGCCTTCCTGGGCCTAGCCACGCCAAAGCTCATGGTTCCCAGAGAGTTCAAGGTGAGAGCTGGGAGTATAGCACAGAGACAAAAGCAGGGCCAGCAGACAGGACCCTGGAGGAGGAAAGTGCATAGATCCTATACTTCTCTTCCTTTAAACTTCAGTATCCTCACTCATAAAATAGAAGTAGTAATAATAATGGCCTCACAGAGTTGTTGTGAGGATTAATGAGGTGCTGCGCCAGACACATAGTTAGCACAGAGTACTCAGTAGCTATTATTAGAGGTAAGGAGTTAATAGGATGGGTTCTGGTCAGCCAGCCCTGGGTTTGAGTTCCGGTTCTGCCACTTCCTAGCTGTGTGACCTTAGGCAAGTCAACCCATATTTCTGAACCTCAATTTATTCATTTATAGAATAGAAATAATAAATAACAATAGTTCCTACCCCATAGGTTGTTTTGAGGTTGACAGAAGATCATGGTGTAAAACATTTACCACAGTGCTGGGACTGGCACATCCCAAGACCTCAAAAAACATTAGCTATTGTTGTCATACATTCTCCCTACCCTTGGCATGGCCCCACCCACTCCACCATTCCCCACTCTCTTCTTTGTACCCCTGGTTGCCTGCTCTGATCTGGTAAAGCTGGAGCCCCCTCTCCAGGGCATGACAGTACATAGGACAAGGCTTAGCACTGACTTAGCACCTAGACTTGGCCCATGCCTTTGGAGACCTCCCCTCTTGTTTCCCCCAGGATAAGAGATAGAGAGCAGGGGGACTCCAACTGGGGCAGGCTCAGGGGCTTGGAATCTAGATAGTGACTGGGGTCCCCTCCTCCACACAGACGCTTGTAATCAGAGCAGACGCAGACACACCCAGCCCTGTCCCTGCACCAGATCAAGGCAGGTCTGAGCCTGAGTTGCCCCACCCTGGATGGTGGTGGTGGGGTACCCAGGGAGGAGGGCTCTGTGCACCAATAAGTATGGGCAGGCCTCATCCACCACCTCCTCCTCTTGCAGGGAAGGAGGGACCCTGGAACCAAAGTCCCTGGCTCCAGCCCAACCCCCAGGCTGGTACCCCTCCTTTTCCCCTCTTTTAAAGCACTGGGATGCTTTGAATCAGCTATGCATACACACACATTGCTCCCACTTAGCTCCCACCTAGCATCCAGGGTCTTAGAGTGGAAGGCAGGAGTAATAGGGGGCTGGATAGGGGGTTTGTAGAAGAATGCCAAGGCTAGGGTATGCAGGTATGGTGCTCTAGGGAGACCCTTTTCAACCCATCCATGGAACACCCTCCCCCAGCCCACACTCCCTGGGCGTGGCTGGTTGGTGTCACCTTTTGGAGCCAACCCCTGGTGGCTGAGCGTGGCAGCCGCCCTGCCTGCCCTGCTGCTATCAATCCTCATCTTCATGGACCAGCAGATCACAGCAGTCATCCTCAACCGTGCCAAATATAGATTGCAGGTAAGGCCTGCTGGGTAAGACCTAGGCCCCTAAACCAAGGGGCAGAAGCTCCAGGTTGGGTCTGGGCTCCCCTCTCTCACCCCAGAGGACATAGGGCCCAGGCCTGGGCTACCTTCATCCTCATTGCCCCACTACTACCTGCAGAAGGGAGCTGGCTTCCACCTGGACCTCTTCTGTGTGGCTGTGCTGATGCTGCTCACATCAGCGCTTGGGCTGCCCTGGTATGTCTCAGCCACTGTCATCTCCCTGGCCCACATGGACAGTCTTCGGAGAGAGAGCAGAGCTTGTGCCCCAGGGGAGCCCCCCAGCTTCCTGGGCATCAGGTGAGGCCAGTATTCATAAGGCTGGAGTGAGAGGTGGGGTAGGGGGTACCAGGCAGAGTTATTTGGGCAGCTTAAATTCTAAACTGGTGACTCCACTGGGCTCTCTCGCTTCCCCATGAGCACTGCAGTGGGGTGAATGGGTGGGTTCTGGGCTCTGAGATGGGTGTGTCAAAACTTCTCCTCTCCTTCCTCAACTATGGGACTGGGAGGGCCCTCAAGAGGAGCATCATAGATGTAAGGGCGGAGGCAGCCAGGGCTGAGCGAGGGTGAGGTGCCACCTAATAATCCCTGCTCACTGTAGGAGCACCTCATTGATGTTACAAAGTAACCATCATGAAAACCATTTTGTAACTTTCAGAAACATAACCTAACCCTTGAAAGTTTGCAAAATAAACTTTGTTAAGTTGTGAATTGAAAGTTTTTATGGCAGTGTAAAAATGCTAATTTTCCATCAAAATGAAAAATTTAAGGGGCCGACCCCGTAGCGAGTGGTTAAATTCCCACACTCTGCTTCTGTGGCCCAGGGTTTTGCCAGTTTGGATCCTGGGCACTGACATGACACCACTCATCAGGCCATGCTGAGGTGGCATCCCACATAGCACAACCAGTAGGACCTACAATTAGGATATACAACTATGTACTGGGGGGGCTTTGGGGAGAAGAAAAAAAAATGATTGGGAACAGATGTTAGCTCAGGTGCCAATCCAAAATAAAATAAAATAAAATATTTAAAAAGAGCAACTATGAGCTTGAGCTGATAGAGAGGCCTGGGACCCCCATATTGAAGTGCCTCTCCCCCTCCTCTCCACCAATTTTTCACACCAAGCTAAGGCCCCCTCCCTGCCCTTGACTACTAGGGGATCCCTCTACTTCCCTCCTGTCAGAGTCAGTAGTGGGGTCTGGCCAGCATCGCCAGCCTGGGCCCCCAGGGGCTCTCCCAGACCCTGGCTAACTCCTCCCTCTCCCGACAGGGAGCAGAGGCTGACAGGCCTGGTGGTGTTCATCCTCACAGGCATCTCCATCTTCCTGGCACCTGTACTCAAGGTAACTTTGTTAGACGGCTGGCGTCAGGGGCAGGGTGGTAATAGTAATAAACATGGCAAGAACTGACATTGACTGAACACTTACTGTGTGCCAGGCCCCATGCTGTTTTCTCCATATGTGGTCTCATTTAATATTCACATTAACCCTGAGAGGCATATGTACCTTACAAATGAGGAAGCTGAAGGCTAAAGAGGTTAAGTAGTTTACAAGAGACCAGCAAGAGAGCTAGCTTCTCAGATCTGAGAACCCAGACTCTTACCCAATGGGTTTTATACCCAGTGGAGCAGGGCGTGGGCCTGCTACTATCCCCTAGGGGCCAAGTGCTACCCTTCTCCCAGCCTCCCAACAAGCCTTAGACTAAGAGTGTGGTCATCACACCCCAGAAAAACTTTGATGCAGAACTCTTCACTTCTCCCTCAACAGATGTTTAGAGAACACCTGCTGTGTGAAAGACTCTGCTGGGCCCCTGGGAGAAGGTGGGGACAGGAGTATTGAAAAGGAATCTGGAACCAAGCCCCTGTCAGCAACACACACACACGAACAAAAATTAACAAGTCATAGCAGAAAGATTCAACAAGCCAAGACAGCAGAGCAGTCAAAGAGGGTGTGGAGAATGGCACACAAGAGTCACTGGCAGGACGACAAGAGGTTAGGGGAGGGAAAGGTCACGGAGGCTGGGTGAGAGTGGAGTAGTTGAAAGAGCCAGATGGACCGGATCAGCCACTTACTAACTAGGTGACTCTCATTCAGAAGATATTTACTGAGCATAAACCATATGCCAAGCACAGTTCCAGGGACTGGGGATATAGTGGTGATTGAAAGAGATTATCCACTCCTTGCAGTCTGGTGAGAGGAGACAGATAAACAGATACTTAGTTTTTCTGAAATCCAATTTCTGCATCTTTAAAATGGAGACAATTATAGAATTTACCTCATTTGATTGATGTGGAGATTCAATAAGATCAGGCATGCAAAGTGGGAAAGGAATGGAAAGACCTGGGTAGGCTTAGATGCTGGATGCTTGAGACTGGGGTTGGAGCTTATGGGGGACAGCTGGCAGAGGTGAACTCCTTCGCCAGCTCTCCACTTCTTTCTACCAGTTCATCCCAATGCCTGTGCTTTATGGGCTCTTCCTGTACATGGGGGTGGCAGCGATTAGCAGCATACAGGTGAGCCCATTAAAATCACCAAGCAACCCCACTCCTCCCCCTTTACTTTCCTGCTTGTACCTCCTGCCTACACTTGTCAGTTCCCCTCTATCCTCTTTCCCTGCCTCTCCTGGGCACAGGGACTCTGCTGCCATGCTCTGGATACAGGAGGCACCAAGGGAGTCTTCTGACCACACCCCAGGCTGAGCTTGGATAGCTAACAGTGACAGCCTCCAGGCTCCCTGAGTATCCTGCTTTCCTTCCCTTGTTCCCCCCAGTTCACGAAGAGGGTGCAGCTACTATTGATGCCAGCAAAATACCAGCCAGACCTCCTGCTCTTGCGGCATGTGCCTCTGAACAGGATCCACCTCTTTACAGGCATCCAGCTTGCCTGCCTGGGTCTGCTTTGGATAATCAAGTCTACTCCTGCAGCCATCATCTTCCCTCTCATGGTGATTCAGGGTTGTGTGGTGTCCTGGGAGACTCTGAGCCAGGGAGGGTGGCCAAGGCCTCTACAAGAGGAAGACTCTCTCCTCTCTCACTTGCCCTGGCTTTGCCTGGTTGGGAATCCTAAGACAGAGAAAGATAGACAAAGAGGGATGCTTACAGATGGGCTTGTCCTGGGATACCTGATTCAACTCCTTTCCCAACCTCTTTGGGCTGATCAACCACATGTAGTGATAGAAAGCCGTGAAAACTGAGGCCCTGGGAGAGGCAATGCTAGCACTTTTGTTACTCAGTGAAGTAATAACATGGGTGGCTTCTGGCCTTGTTCTTATTCGCTGAGGAAGTTAAGAGCCATAGGCTTTGCAATAGGACAAATCTGGTTACCACATCCCAGCTGTGTGACCTCTCAGAAGTTACTAAACTCTCAGGGCCTCAGTTTCCTTCTCTGTACAGTGGGAATAATTATTATATCTACCTCCTAGGAATGTGTTAGATTCAGTGAAACGATACACAATGCCTCATACACAGGAAGGGCTCAATAAATGTTACTGTTGTTAATGTTCCTGCTGCTGTTGCTGACAGCTTGGGGCTTTGTTTCTGTCCCTGCAGTTGCTGGGCCTCGTGGGGGTCCGAAAGGCAATGGAATGGGTCTTCTCACCACAGGAACTCCTCTGGCTGGATGAGCTGATGCCGGAGAAGGAGAGGAACATCTCTGAGAAGGGGCTGGAGCCAGAGTACTCATTCAGTGGAAGTGACAGTGAAGATGTGAGCTCCTTGAGGGGCCCTCTCAGGAGAAGGGGGCAGGGATGGAGAGTGTGCTCTTGTCCAGGAGTTGTCCCTAAGGTCTAATATCTCCATTAAGCCTGAAGATCTGATCAACACAGTCACTCCCCTCAGCTCCATATTGACATGGGCACACTGAAGGAGCGAGGGAAATCTTTCTTCATAGGGCAGGGGCCCTGGTTTATGAGCCCATGGGGGTGGAAAGGGCTGGGGACACAGCTCTAATGGGCTGTCTGTCTCAACTTTGATCTTGGTCTCCACGTGGGTTTATATTCTTTCACTCTCTGGGTCCCTTTCTCTCTCCTGTCTGTCTCTGTCTCTGTCTTTCTGTCTATTCCCAAATCATCTTGGGATCTCTGTTCACAGTCAGAGCTGATGTATCAGCCGAAGTCTCCGGAAATCAACATCTCTGTGAATTAGCTGGAGTAGAAGGAGTCTGGGAGTGGAGACTCCAGGAACCACAGCATGAGGTGAGGGTGTGAGGGAAGTGCCCCAGGTGTTGAGGCTGGGGAGGTAGGGGTTCAGACCTTGGAAGCCTCCGATGTGTTGACCAGCCCTGTTTTCTCTTTATGCTCAAGTCCCATGCTTGAGTCACTCAGGACCTCCAGAGTTGGGGAGGGGGTTTCAAGGTGTCTCCAGAGGGAAGAAGGAAACAAGCGAGAGTACCTGGGCTTGGCTCCCTGAGGCACTGAAGTCTGGCCGGTAGAGGGAGCTCAAGCTCACACCAAACTGGATGTGGAAATGGGAGGTGGGGAAGGGAGGCGTGTGATGACCAAAGAATGGAAGGAGGAGGGAGGAGAAGGGAGGGTGAAGCTCCTTGCTGCTTTCTTTTGCTTTGGAGGCTCCTCCCCTAGGCTGCTGAGAACCGCACTCCAGACAGGAGGAGGGATTCTCTGTCACTTGCCCTCTGCCATTCCTTCAGTTTATTCATCTATTTATCAAAACATTTTCTGAGTACATATGGAGTATCTGGGTAGTAGAGATACAGTGGTAGGACAATCATAGTCCCTGACCTCAGGAAGTTAAAATTCCAGTGGGAAAGACAAACAGGCCACTGTTAGAGTGAGATAGTGCTGGCTCACAGAAGCACATGCTGTGGGAGCAGAGAGGCTTCTTGGAAGGGTGGTAAAGGTGGCATGGTGGGAGTTAGGAAAAGCTTCCAAGAGGTAGTGATCCATAATTTGAAATCTGAAGAATGAATGGAAGCTAGCCAGGACAAGATGGATGGAAAATGTTCTAGGCAGAGAGTGCAGCATGTGCAAAACCCTGGGATTTTTCCCCATTGATAAGATGAACTCTCTTTTGGGCCACAGAACACCCTCCTCTCCATGCTTCTCCAAGCCCAAGAGCCAAGGGCCCCCACCACTTGCCATGGAAAATTCTAGGGGCTAGAGGGAGAAAGGGCAATTCAGAACAGGATCTCCAGGGCTTTCCTTATCCCCTGCTACTCCTTTGCTCTGTTATTTACCCTACTGTGTCCCTGAGCACTTGCTCTGACCCCATGTGTCTTCTCTCAGTTCACAGGTGTTTACTCAGGAAGTCAGGACATTGCTGGCCTTTGGCTTAATTGTCAGATGCTCAGTCAGCTGGGAACCTGAAACAACGGGGCAGGACTGGAAGGCAGCTGGCTAAGACCTCAATCACCCTCCTGAGCTTGGGGTGGAGAGTGGTAGGGAACAAGCAGATCTGCTTGTGGTTAGGAAAGGCTGGTAAGCCAGAGGGACTGACCAGGCCCCATTCACTCTCTACCCTGTTAAAGGGACCTGAGGCCAGAAGCCCTTCCCATTTTGAACTTTCTGTCCTCACAAATTCTCTTTTACAGAATGGGGGGCGGGGGGGCGAGTACATCAGGGAACTCTTTTTGGCTTGCAAAAGGGGGAAAAAGTCCCTCTTTCCAGAATAAGTATTCCTCTATTTGAAACAGTTTTTTACACATATAAAAATAATCTTTATTGCATTTTTGACCACAAAAGTAAATTAGGTTACTGCAAAATATTGAAACACTACAGAAATGTATAATGTTGAAATGAAAACCATTCCAGAGATAAACAGTGTACACATTTTAGAATATATTGTTCAGATTTATTTCAATGGACACATTAATTTTTTTATTAAAATGGGATTACACTGTTAGTTCTACAACATGCTTGTCACTTAATGTACATTGGATATTTTTCTCATATCAGTATATACATATTTACCTCATTCTTTTTGTCATTTGCATAGAATAAATAACCTTATAAATTGAAAAAGACATCATATATACTAAAGAGTATATAAAATGTCTTCTGGGGCTGGCCCTGTGGCCGAGTGGTTAGGTTCACGCCCTCTGCTTTGGCAGCCCAGGGTTTTGCTGGTTCGGATCCTGGGTGCAGACATGGCACGACTCATCAGGCCATGCTGAGGCGGTGTCCCACATGCCACAACTAGAAGGACCCACAACTAAAAATACACAACTATGTACTGGGGGGGCTTTAGGGAGAAAGAGAAAAAATAAAATCTTTAAAATAAATAAAGAAAATGTCATCTTCAAGTGCAAGAATTTCTCCAGAGTATATACCTAGGAGTGGAATTAAAGAGTGGAAATAAAGAGTAACAATGAAAAGAATACCTGCATATCCAACACTCAGGTTAAAAAATAGGATATTTCTAGTACCTCAGAAGCCCCTCTGGATATTCCTTCCAGATTACACCCCCAATTCCAGGCAAACCTGATCTAAATTTTATGGTAATTATTTTCTTGATTTTCTTTATTATTTATTTATTTGAGGAAGATTTGCCCTGAGCTATCATTTGTTGCCAATCTTCCTCTTTTTTTTTGCTTGAGGAAGATTAGCCCTGAGCTAACATCTGTGCCAGTCTTCCTCTATTTTGTATGTGGGTCACCGCCACAGCATGGCTGATGAGTAGTGTAGGTCCATGCTTGGGATCCGAACCCATGAACCCGGGCCCCCAAAGTGGAGAGCCCCAAACATAACCATTACGCTATGGGGCTGGCCCCTCTTTATCATTTTGACACCTATTTATGTATCCTTGTGTAGTTTCCCTATTTTTGAGTGTTATATAAATGGAATCATAGTGTATGCATTCTTCTGTGACTGCTTCTCTCACTCAACATTCTTTTGAGAATCAATCATGTGGGTGCATGCAGCTAGAGTTTGTTCATTTTTATGGCTGTGTAACACTCCATTGTATGACTCTACCACAGTTCAATTACCAATTTTTTCTGTTGACTCAGAGAATTCACTAGTGAAGCCACCTGGACTTGGTGCTTGCTTTGTGGAAAGATTAAGTTGGTTCAGAGTCTTTAATGATTATAGGATTTTTTTTTGTTTAAATTAAAGACTATTTTTTAGAGCAGTTTTAGGTTCAAGTTATAGGATTTTCAGGTTATTTCTTCTTTAGCCAGTTTTGATGAATTGTATTTTTCTAGGTATCTATTCATTTTAACTGTTTTCATATTTATTGGCATAAAGTTATTATAACTTTTTATCTGTTTAATTTACGTAGCACATTTAGCTATAGTTCCCTTATCTTTTTTTTTTTTTTTTTTTGGTGAGGAAGATTGGCCCTAAGCTAACATCTGTTGCCAATCATCCTCTTTTTTTTCCTGCTTGAGGAAGATTGTTGCTGAGCTAACAACTATGCCAATCTTCCTCTATTTTATATGTGGGATGTCGCCACAGCATGGCTTGTTGAGCAGTGTGTAGGTCCATGCCCAGGATGGGAACTTGTGAACCTCAGGCCACCAACATGGAGTATGCAAACTTAACTTCTATGCCACCAGGCTGGCCCCAGTTCCCTTATAATTTTTAATATTATTGTGTATTCTCTCTCTTTTTTTTTTTTGTGAGGAAGATTAGCCCTGAGCTAACATCTGCTGCCAATCCTCCTCTTTTGCTGAGGAAGACTGGCCCTGAGCTAACGTCCGTGCCCATCTTCCTCTACTTTATATGTGGGATGCCTACCACAGCATGGCTGGCCAAGTGGTGCCAAGTCTGCACCCGGGATCCGAACCGGTGAGCCCTGGGCCGCTGAAGTGGAACATGCAAACTTAACTGCTGCGCCACCAGGCAGGCCTCTGGATGATGCCTTTTAGAATCAAGTAGAGATGAGAAATAGGCAGCTGGACACACAAATCTGAAGTTCAGGGGGGAAGTCTGAGTCAGAGATAAAAATTTGTAAGTTTACTAATGTATAAATTATATTTGAAACAGACTAGATAAGATTGCCAAGGGAGTGGATATAGTAGAGAAGACATCGAGGGCCAGATCTTGGAATACTCCACTGTTAAGAGGTAGGAGGTTGAGGAGCATCCAGGAAAAGAGGAGCCTGAGAAGTAGCCAGTGATATGGAAGCAAAACCAGGAGAGCATGGTGTCATTCTTGAAGTAAAGAAAATGTTTCAATGAGAAGTGTTTCAGGTTACAGTTTGTTTGGGGGTCATTCTAACTGATTACTTTTGTGCCAGTTCATCTATGAATTTTAAAGTTAAAAATTATATTTAACCTAGCATTTTCATTGTTGTAGCTGGGAAGGCTGTTTGGAAGTTTTAATCCATACAATGCCAGACATGGAAATTCTCATGGCTCTTTTTAATGCTGTAAAGAAGGATCCTAACATTATCTAAGTATCTACTGATTGAGAGAAATATATACCAAAAGTATCATTTAAATTTAGATAATTGTATATTTTTCTCATTTCAACAGCATCTACATACTGTTGAAAACATTTTCATTTCGACGTACTTGTTTAAACATTCAACAAATACTTATTGAACATCAACAATGTCCTATCAGATAAGGTTTCTGACTTCGTGGAGTTTACATTATAGTGAAGGAGAGAAGTAACAAACAAAATATAAGATCATCTCAGATAATGGCGAGTACTCTGAAGAAAATCAAACAGGGTAATATGATAGGGATTGGGAGAAGACATTACTTAAGAAGGATGTTCAGGGAAGACCTCTCTGAGGAGGTGACCTTTAAGCTGAGACATGAGTGGCGAGGAACCAGCCAAATTATCGTCTGCCTGCAGTCAAGGCGTGATAAACATACACATGAATTTAAGTTCTCTACAGTCCCCAGATTGGGAACCACTGTTATAAGGGAAGGATTTTGAGGTCAGTACTGGCTTCAGACTTAGACCTAGCTTGCTCAGTCTAGGGCATAGGAGCCTGAGACATTCCTTTCCTGGCTCTAACCCATAGGCTTCAGTTTTCTGTCAGCAAAATGGGGCCAAGAGCCAGGATTCTAGGGTGCTGCAAGGCTTAATTGATGCCTATAACATTCTTTAAGATCTTTAGATGAAAGACCCGGGGCTGTATGGAGGGTTATTAGAGCCTCCCAAGCCCAAGGGAGAATCTCTCCATATCAGTAACCTAGATCCTCTCCTCTCCAGTCTGTAGCTATGGGACAATGGTTCTCAAACTGCTGTGGTTATTAGAATCAAAGGTTGTTATGATGTGACTTCCTGGGCTCTCTGCCTGAGGTTCTGATTCTCCCTGAGGTTCTGGATTCTTGTCTTCTTAGTTCTGTGTTCTTCTGTCCTCTTGTCCAGTGCCTCATGCTTCACAACACTCTAGATTTTTGTCTTTGCAAATGAACCTGAGCGCACACTTTATCTATCTATCTATCTATCTATCTATCTATCTATCTATCTATCTATCAAGGTCAGAGATATCTTTGGTCATTTTTCCTGAAAGCCGTCCAGAGCAGAGATTGTGGGAGGCAAGAATGTGTCTGTATCTACTTCTCAAATGTAGACAGATGTTAGGAGGAGGATTTTGGGGGAAACTTTGAATAAAAGGAGGGAGGAATTGATGACTGGTGCAAAATGGAAGAAGAAAGTGAGCACAAGGAAAGTAATCCTGGTTTGAGGACCAGTTTACTGTTTCTCACATCTTCTCTGTGCTGTATCCCACTTATAGGAGTTGTTCAGAGCTTAATTGATCAATTCATTCCTTCATTCATCCATTCATTCAACAAATATGTGTTAAATATCTATTATATGCCAGGCAGTGTTCTATGTGTAGGAATTCGCTGTTAAATAAGACAAGATCTCTGCTCTCTTGGAGTTTCCATTCTAGTAGGGGAAGACAGAAAATAAATAAATATAACCATATATAGCTAAGGCTATTTCAGACAGTGATAAATGCAAGAATACAAGCTAATGTCATAAAGAGGGAGGGTTTGGTGGATGACTACTTTAGATTTGGGTTTAGTGAGGTCCTCTCTGAGAAGATAAAATTTGAGCAGAGACATGAATGGCAAAAAGAAGTCAGCCTAGGAATAAGGAGGAGGCAGTGGAGGGGAAGCATTTTTGGCAGGGGGAATATCAGTGCAATGGCCCTCAGGCAGGATGGGCTTCAGAATGTTTGAGAAACAGAGAAGGCCCATATAGCTAGAGTGGAGGAATGAGAGGGAGAACATTGCAAGATGAGGTTGGAGAGGATGAGGATTAGGGTTGTAGGCTACCATAATGGATACCTCAGAAAAGGCAGTGTGGGTGAGGCCTTGTCTCTTGGGGTAAGAATAGTGTGGGCCAAACCAGAATAACCAAAACGATCTTGAAAATGAAGAATCAAGTTGGAGGACTCACATTTTCTGATTTCAAAAGTTACTTCCAAGCTACAGTAATCAAGACAATGTAGTACTAGCATAAGGAAAGACATAGAGAATTGACAGTCCAGAAACAAACCCCCACACTATTGTCAATTAATTTTTGATAAGAGTGTCAAGACAACTCACTAGTGAAAGGACAGACTTTTCAACAAATGGTGCTGGGAAAACTGGATATCTACATGCAAAAGAATGAAGTTGGACCTCTACCTCACATCATATGCAACATTAACACACAACAGATCAAAAACGTAAATGTTAAGAGCTAAACCACCTCTTCCTTAGAAGAAAACATAGGTGTAAATCCTCATGACCTTGGATTTTGCAATGGTTTCTTAAATATGATATCAAAAGTACAAACAACAAAATAAACAAATGAATTAGACATCATCAAAATTTAAAACTTTTGGGGCCGGCCT